AACATGAACTGTGGTTAAATTGGAACTTAATAATTTCATTTGTATTGCAATCTAATCTTCATTTACTTATTCTGCATTGAATTGCTAGGGACTAGCAATTAGCAAGTAGGGGTGTGTTAAGAGTGTAAAATATAATACTTTCCCCTTTTAATTATTGCATTCTTGTGATTATTTGATATCAAAATACATTCATTATACTTATACTTTAATTCAGGTTGTATTTTGGTAGAAAATGTGACATTTAGAAGAAAATAGCAAAAAAGGATTAAAATAGAAGAAAGTAAAAGTTCAGGGACCAAATTGCAAATAATCTGAAGATGAGACGGGCGATGAAATGATGATTTGAGAAATTTAGGAGTCCATTGGGTGTAATTCGAAGTCAAAAGAAGTTAAATATGAACATAACATATTCACAAGTCAAATTCCAACAGCATAAAGATTTTTCAAATTTTCAACCAGAGATTGAAGTCCACTTTTGACCCAGTAAACATTCGAATTCGGAAAAAACTACTCCCAAAAAAATTGTAGCTTTTTATATTAGTTTTCCAACACACTTTGAATTGCCTTAATCGGACATCGAGAGAGAAAGTTATGGTCAAAATACTAAAAGTAGTCGCACAGAATATTCTGGTCGAAAATTTAGTTTCTTTATTCGGTTCAACCTCTTATGGAAACAATTTGGCACACGGTTTTAAGCTCTAGACTGGACAGAACACTTCTCTCTTGACCTCCATAACAAATTTCTCTCATCTTGGGCTAAAAAATTCAATGGAGAACTAAATTCCTAGGTGAAGCTACGAATGAACTCATTAGATTTGGCGACTTCACAACATTTATTCATGCAAATTGGTATTTTTATTATCAAACACTTCTAGATCTAGACTTTCTTTTATGAATTTGCTTTGAAATTGATTTTACTTTTACTAGATTTTTCATAGATTCAATCATGTTTTTTCTATTGTGTAATTGAATTAATTGTTGAATTTCAATTTCAATCAACTTTATTGATGGATTATTTACTGTCTTATGCATTGTGTATATGGTTGATTCTTAATCTTAGTCCAATAAACATGTGTGGGAATGGTTTACAAAAGTCTAGATCCTAAGATTACAATTGAGATTTGATTGATCTTCATTGTTAAATCTTCCGATTAGAGAGTTGGGATGAAAACCTCTAATTAAGCAAAAAGTCGTGAATTATTGAAACATAGCTACAGATGTGGCACTAGCATTTAATAGCTCTAGATTCTCGTCATTATCCTTCCAATCCCTTTGTTTATACTTTTGACTATAATTATCATCGTCATTCCATCCAGATGGAACAATTGGTTCATCTGTTCAGGGTGGGAAGTAAATTTGACCTAATAATCAAATTTACTAGATGGTTCTCCAAGCAGTCCAACAACAGGTTCTCTATTTTCAAAGTCTTTATGAAGCTTTACCCTATGAAGCTTTTGGTGACTTCTTTTCCTCGATCTTCTTCTCCTAGGAGGAGAAGGCTCATCATTTACTTCAGTACTCAAACAAGTAGTACAAGAACAAACATCCGAAAAATCATGGCCAGAATCATCAGTTTTAACATATATAGGTTTTCCACTTGAATCAAATGCATAAATAAGTATATTTTCTATGAATGCAAACTGAGTTGAAAAGAAATGTGGTCGTTTTGAAGTTTGGCCTACTTTATTAGTTTTAATGGTCACAATAAGCCATTAATTTGAGCAGTAACAAAAGTATGCTCCGCTATTGCCTCTCTTGAAGATTTTTAACATCACAAATTGTGCTACAAACTAAACAATCCGTCAAGGAGATTTACAATCCTAAAAGTCAGGCCATATATTTGTATACCTCAGTTCTGACTGTTTGTTATGGGCTATAATACATGGATTGCATTTCTCTCTAGTTGATATGCCACATAGTCTTTACCTAACACAATATCTAGCACACATGTCCAATAATATAACAAAGCATCGAGGCATTGATGTACATATATCTATATTTTTGCATTGAGGTTGAAAGCACTAGCGACTAGTACTTTCGTGTGTCCCTCACATATCTTAGCATTCAAGGTCTCTATCATCTATTATTCATACATCCGTTAAAATTCAAAGTGATCAAGAATCATTCTATATAAAATATTTAGTGTTAAATATCATCAAAATGGGAGTTCTATGAGAGGGAAAAAAAGGTGGAGGAGTTCGAAACCACTGCCTCTAGGTTTGATTTAGGAAACATTTCAAGGAGTTACTCATCATGGAATTTTCCTAGTCAAGTACGCTTAACTTTAATATTTTACTAGAATCTCACGTTGATACACTAATACGATTTCAATCAAAGCTCGTATTTTTGTGCCCCATAAGATTCTCCATTTCAACCTATTTTTACTTATTTATAAGTAATTATAGTTTACCATAAAAAAATATCCAGGAATTTGACTGCAATTAAGAGAAACTTTTATTTGCATTTTAAGTTCCAGATAATTCTTGTCAGTGTCCCTTTTCCAAATTTTATTAATCACATTTTAATCCATAACTTCATTGGAATCTTTACGAAAAATTCCTAAAAGTCTTAGTAAATTTTGGGATATTACAATCCCTATTGCTCTCGATTTTCGCACGACTGGTGTGTCCAATAGATCCCTACTTCACTTACGTCCACATAACCTCTCGCATGCATACTAACAAATCGTTAACAATACGTGACCTTTCTCAAAGATGGGGAAGGTGATCGCTTGCAGTCCAATAATCAAGTCAGTCGCTTATAAGAATGTTTGGGTGTGGGACATGTTGTTGACGTGAGCCACAAAAGTGTTCTGAATATGGAGGGTCAAAATAGAATGGATTTATAGAGACTTAAAAATGAGAGAGATCAATGAGAGTTGAGTGTGTAAAATTACATTACCTATCAAATGACATTAAGTGTGAGCTTTTATCGTAGAAGTGTAAAATAATGACCGTTGAATGAAGAAACACGCGATATCATCTTAACAGTCGAGTTGCCTTATCATAGGCGTCATTTTATCGGCTCAGGCGTATTTAATGTTTCTGACAATTTGCCACCCTATGGTCTATGCCTAGACTTAACAAGTTAACTTGATATAGTGGCTGCTGTCGTGAGTGGCCACATCAATCTATCATAAAGGATCTTGTACGAGAGTCTCATGGGGACGCACCTCAAGTGCCTAGAGGATGTATCGCCTCATCTCGTCCATGAGGATTTGACCTCTTTATGAGGATTTGACGGGATTGCCAAGTAGACAAAGCGACGTGGAGCGTAGACCTGAGTTCACTCATTAGTGACTACAACGTGGACATTCTTCGAACCTGGATGAGGCATAACACAAACATAATTACATTAAACACCATATGAAATCTAAGAACTCGACCATAAAACCTTATAAAACTAATAAACTCAACTAGTTAATCATTAATAAAAAAAGTTGTCACTACACATATTTTCCCAACAAAGCTGACCACAAAACCTGATAAAACTAATAAACTCAAATAATTAATCATTAATAAAAAAAAGTTTGTACTACACATATTTTCCCAACAAAGCTCTATATAAAATTGTTAACAGTGCACCGACTAATTCCAATGAACAACTTCTTCAATTGTTAATATTTTATTGTAGAGTAATTCCAGCAGTCCACACCGTGTTTCATGCATGAGTCATGGCGCGTGGGCCCACACGTAAGGTTTGTTAGAAAATAGCAAGATTCATGCAAGTACATAATTTTATAACAGAAAAATCTTACAAACAACACATGACGTAACACTATTAAAAGATGAAAAATGAAAAAAAATAGTCCACTTATATTTTGTCACATTAGCATCGATACAAGTTCTGATAAGTTTTTCATATATATATATATATATATATTTTAAATTACTTCTTAAAAACTATTTTCAAAAAAGACTCGAATGGGGATTAAGCCCCCGTTTGATTCTCATTCTTTGATCACAAAAATGAAAAATAAGATAGTTATCTATCATATCAAGCCACCATATTTGATTTTCTAACTTTCGTGTGGGTTCCATAACAATTATATTTTTTATTCTCATTTTTACAATAATAAGTGTCAAACGGGGTCTTAAATGTGTAGTTTTAACATTGGCAAGATAATTTCTGCCTATAAAAAATTGTATTATTGTCGAGTTTGTTAGGAAATAGTAAAAAATTTATATGTCAACCACAATAAACCTTGGAGTTTGAAAAGCACGATAAATAAGAATGGAGAATAATAGAAAGGAAAAATCAGGAAACCGTTACGGGCGGGCAACGGCTGAAGAAGTCGGCAAGTAAAGAAATCGACGGCTGAATCGTAAATCAAAATCAAGATGTACAAACAATAAAGCATTCCGTATACGCCAATTGTCAAATCCAAGTGCCCAATTGCATTGTTAATAATTCAAGTGAGAAATTGAATTTCTAGAATATATAGGATTAATACGTACTATAAATTTTCCTTAAAAGACCATACTATGTATGCTAAATAAAGGATTTGCAGACTATTACGTCAACTCGAGAGTTTATTCAGTGCGCATTCGAAGAATAGTGATTGCGAATTGTCCATCATCAAAAAATAAAAATAAAATAAAGGATGACACGGAATAAATTTTTTAAGATGTAATGATATATTTTATAGTTTATATTAAAAAAATATTAGATATTGTCAAAAGAAGAGTTTACTTTTATAGTCACATAAAGTGTCATACAATATTTTATAAAGAATGTGTAACGTCGAATCCAAATTTTTAATTTCTGACTTTGATTAGAGGTTTTAATTGGATTTTAATTTAAATCGGGCATGAGCTTAAGATTTTATCAAATCATTAAAAATGAATTGATCTGAAAATAGTTAAGAGTTTGTTCATCCTTGAGCAAAATCAGGAAGAAGAATTGAGGATAATTGAGGGGTTGAGGGTAAATTTGTCAACTCATAATTATTAAAATTTGTCATGAGTGATCTCATCCTTTTCAATAATCCCCTTTCTCTTCTCATCCTCCCACTTGTTTCATTTTCCTGCAGTTCTTACTTTTTCTTCTTCTAAGTTGAAACAGTAAAATGAAATCTCATTCAACAACGAAGAAGTAAAATGAAAACCCATTCTCTAAAGTCGTATCTCTGGCTATAATCCTCTGTTCTAGCTTGACGTTCTTCAATCTCTGTTTATACGGATCGTCCAGTAATATATTTCAAATTCTTGAAATGCAATCGATTTCCTTAGCTGGGTTCCTCTAGTTTCCCACAAAATTCGAAATTTCTTTGTTCTTGGGCCAATTTTGGAAAAAGAAATCAAAATCGCTGAGTCAACTCATTTTACAATCACCGACCGTCGAAAAAATTCATCAAAATTTTCTGTTTTAGTCTCTGGGCTTCTGTTAATCCCTCCAAAACTTCGCTTTCTTGGAATTTCAGATGACGGATAATCCGAGAGAGGCGGTACTGAGTCGAATAAGTGACTCGGTCAAGGCCATATCCGGATTGCCCGACTGCAGAACGGTTGCAAAGAAGATGTATTGTAATCTGGTGAGAAGAGTGAAGTTGTTAAGCCCTCTGTTTGAGGAATTGAGGGACGGTGAAGAAGAAGAGCTTGGAAGTGAAGTCGTTATGGGGCTTGACTCGCTGAGAATCGCTCTTGACTCCGCTCTTGAGGTGCTGAAATCTGTACATGAAGGCAGTAAGATTTTTCAGGTATATACATAAGAATAGATATAATTTGGGGAAAATAACCTTATCATGTTCTTCTTCTCTATTTTTTGAGAATCTGTGTTGGTATTTGGAAATTTTCTATCATTATCACTTAATTGAAGAATTGTAGACATAATTAATTTGCCAATTATTACTAGAATATGCATGTATTAATCATAACAGATGACTGGTTAAACTGATTGAACTGTAACTCTTATATTGATCATCATCACAGGCATGTCTTCATCACGGTATTATGATTAAAAGATTGATTTTATGAGAATAAAAGAGCTCTAGGAATGAGCATTTTAGCACTGTAAATTAAGGTTCCTGCCATATTTGTTATCCCAACATGTCCGTTTTGTGGGATGTAGGAATAACACTTAAACTCGTGTCTTCGGATTATTGGTATTTCCTGTGTTTATGTACACACTGAATAATTTTTTACAGAATTATGTTTAATTTTCAGTTATCATTTTTGAAGTTTTAGGACACACATTCTAGTACGTAGTTGTGACTAGGAAGATAAGAGTTTTGTTTTAGTTGCTTCCTTAGTTATTTATGTCTCACTAGAAATATCAATGGATCACGTGAAGTACTTATTTCCCTGTCCATTTTTTACAATATTAGACTCCATGAAGTTCTAATTATTATGGTAGTGAATGCAAGACGATTTCACCGAAATGTATTTCTTTTATGTTATCTACTTTGAACATTCTTTTAACAGTTTTTCATTTATTTATTTTTGCAAGACAACTCATATAATCTGCTAACTACAGAACCTTTTAATGGTAACTGTTGTGCTCAAGTTGTTATTATGGTGTGCCGTGTGTTTTACAGGCACTGCAAGTGGACAAAATAGCACGTAAGTTTGATCTTGTCACTGAACAGATAGAAGAAGCATTACGTCAGATTCCCTATGATAAACTTGATATACCAGAGGAAGTTCGAGAACAGGTACTCCTCATTTTAACAGAAGACGGGATGTGAAGTGGTTATGGGCTAGCTTTTTTTATTTTTTATTTTTTTAATTTAGTGGCAATGATATCTTCTTCCATTTGCAGATTGAACTTGTGCATACACAATTCAAAAGAGCAGTAGGTAAAATGGAGTCTCTTGATTTGCAACTGGCAATGGATTTAGCTGCAGCACAAATGGAAGATGACCCCGACGCAATAATTTTCAAAAGGCTTTCTGAGAAACTGCATCTTAGGACTATAAATGATCTAAAGAAAGAGTCACTTGCTATCCACGACATGGTTATCTCATGCAGTGGATTTCCAGCTGGAGTACCAGAGGAGTACTTGGAGACGATGTCATTTCTCCTTCGGAAGATAAAGGACTGTGTAATGGCAGAAAGTCCCGTCCCTGATGCCCATGAAGCTGACAAGAGTTCATTTAAGCACAGATCTCCAGTCATCCCAGATGATTTCCGCTGTCCAATATCGCTTGAGTTGATGAAAGATCCTGTAATTGTGTCTACTGGACAGGTTGAATTCCGGGTTACATCTATGATGTAGTGCTTTCTTTAATTCAAGAACTTTTATTCAGTTACTATTTTCTTTGGCAGACATATGAGCGGTCCTGCATTCAGAAATGGCTGGATGCAGGTCACAAGACTTGCCCTAAGACTCAGCAGACGCTGTCGCACACAGCCTTAACACCGAATTATGTTTTGAAGAGTCTTATTGCTTTGTGGTGTGAGAGTAATGGTGTTGAGCTGCCTAAAAAACAAGGGAATTGTCGCAATAAAAGATCGGGAATTGGTGGTTCAGACTGTGATCGAGCTGCTATTGATGCCTTGTTGCAGAAACTTGCAAATGGTAATATTGAACAGCAAAGAGCTGCAGCAGGTGAGCTTCGTTTGCTAGCAAAAAGAAATGCTGATAATAGAGTATGTATAGCTGGATCGGGAGCTATTCCACTGCTAGTCGAACTGTTATCCTCTACCGATCCAAGGACTCAGGAGCATGCCGTTACAGCACTTCTTAACCTCTCGATAAATGAGGCCAACAAGGGAATCATTGTAAATGCCGGTGCAATACCTGATATAGTGGACGTGCTAAAGAATGGTAGCATGGAGGCTAGAGAAAATGCGGCAGCAACCCTTTTTAGCTTGTCGGTTCTTGACGAGAACAAGGTGGCAATAGGAGCAGCTGGAGCCATCCCACCTCTAATTGATTTGCTCTGCCAGGGGACTCCAAGAGGAAAGAAGGATGCGGCCACTGCTATATTTAACCTTTTAATCTATCAAGGAAACAAGGTGAGGGCAGTAAGGGCGAGAATTGTACCACCACTTATGAGATTGCTTAAGGATCCCGGAGGAGGAATGGTGGATGAAGCTCTAGCAATATTGGCTATTCTTGCTAGCCATCAAGAAGGGAAAGTAGCAATTGGGCAAGCTGAGCCAATCAATATTTTGATTGAGGTGATTAAGACTGGTTCGCCACGCAACCGGGAAAATGCAGCAGCGATATTATGGTCACTTTGCACGGGTGATTCGCAATACTTGAAAGTTGCCAGTGAGCTTGGAGCAGAAGACGCATTGAAGGAATTGTCAGAGAATGGCACCGACAGGGCCAAAAGAAAAGCCGGCAATGTATTGGAGCTTCTCCAGCGAACTGAAGACGTTATTGGATGACATTCTGTTGATTTCGTACGTGGAACGATATTCAGATTTCGTATCTGCCGACGGCATTCATCCAAGTAGAGGGGTACCCGTGTAAAGAACTGTAGAAACGTGTTTTTCTTATATTTTTGACGTGTTTATTTTCTTGGAATAGGAGGTGTTTTATTTTTACTTAAAAGTGTATTCTAGTGGTTGATCGTTAATTTATAATGTGAAGTGACATTGCTGATTGCTCGATGTATTTTCTTCTGCGTGTTTTCGCATAATTTATGGAAACTCTACAATTCCTATGTATCAGTTGAATGCCAAGTATTTAGAGTTTGTTTGGGTGAAATTATGTGAACTCTTAGATTTATACTAATTAACCTGGTAGGTTCCACTCAGTTCATAAATGGAGTTAATACTGGTAAATCAAGATTCAAAATAAACTGTACTTAAAAGATTAACCTGGATATTTTATCGTCAATGCATCCCTTCAATGAAATCCTTAATAATGAGGAATTTCGTTTGGATATGTTGGGCTTTGATTAACTTGACTAATTATTTAAGAAGATATGTTGGGCGATTACAAGATCTCAGAGGTTATATGTCGACTTGAGTGAGTAGATTATTGTAGTATATTTAATTTCTTGAAATTAATTTCGGATTATGAAAAACTAACCTTGAAAGTAAGATACTTAACACGTGAAAATTATTTTTTGTAAAAATAGCATTAGCACGATTATTTCAGAAAATTGGACTTAGCATCATCTAGGTATGACACTTGACAGAATATTCTAGAATGTTGGAGTGAAAAGTCGTGGTTTTTTATAATTACTTTTGGACTTGTCCTATTTTAACAAGTATGTCCTCACATAGACATAATGCAATAGTTATATCACTTTTTCAAAACACAACTTTTCAACTACTACTCAATTATTCCATTCATTATAAAACTTCTAATTTTCATTCCATAATATTCTCTACATATTTTTTGAGTCCATTTTTTCTTAATAATTGTAGTGCTACTATCACGTAAATTTGATAATTGTATCTTGAAGGATGAATCCGAGTCTATTAGCATCCCTGGGAAGCATTAGCATTTTAAGGAAAAAGTATCTCACATTGGAGACTAATTGCACTAAAAATATCTTTAGAATTAGTCTTCGACTTCAATGCACTAAAATCATTGATATACACATGGGTTTATTGGACAAATTCGGCACAAACCTCAACAAACTCTCCCACTTGGAAACTTGACTTAAAATGGCTAATTACCCTTAAAAATGACTAATCATGATGGTCACTTGATGATCAATTGGCATAAAAATGACTTAAGTACCCTTAAAAATGCATATAAATAAAATCATTGCAATTAAAAAAGATCTTAAATCTGAATAATATACAGCTTTGAGATCTCCAACCACACTTTGAAAAACTCCACTTCTCTAAAAATCCATCTCGGATTGAAATGGAATCCAAGGTCGGCCATCCCAAAAATTGAAAGAATATCTTCAGTCGAACACCTTTTCCAATTGAAAGAACATCGAAACATCCATCTTTACTCGCAAATTACTTGACTTACAACCCAAAATCACAACAGAAAACCAAGGAAACTTTTGGTAAAAAAAAAAAAAAACAGTTGACCTTTTAATAATATCTATTTTATGAGGTCAATAACTACCTCTAAATTTGTTAATTTGCTCTCTCACAATTTCCTCACTTTGTTTGGCTTAAAACTATCCCTCGACCGCAAAATATGCCTGTACCAATCTCTACCATTAATCCCAAAATAAGACATAAACCCAACCTCAATCTTCATTAGCAAACGGCAACCGAATCTTTGCCATGTTCGGTTCCATGGCAGAGAGAGCCTACACAAACTTCACATTTCTCTTGCTAGTCCTCACCCTTTCTTTCATTCCTGCAAACTGCGAATTTGAATTATTCCCAGATGTGGAGGTCACATTAGCCAATGATGGAAACCATCCAATTTACTTCATGTGCAAATACACAGACAAGGATAATTCTCTTTACGAACTACCTGAAAACACCACCTACAGATTCAATTTCCCGCAGGTTGCCTTTCCAATGCGGTGGTGTTATCTATATATAAACCCCAAAAGTCACGGATTCTTCTGGGCGTACACAGTAAGATCGAGATGTACTAAATGTTTTTGGAGCATTAACAGATATCCACATTTGTATAGAAGTGATCGTGCCAGATGGGAACGTCAGGAGCTGTTTCAACCGTTAAATTTCAACATATCGGATTATTTCAAGGTGGATTGATGGAAAGGTCCTGGAGCAAGCAACTACAATTTCGAAATTGTGAAATTGTAAGTAATTATTTAAAAATTTCGAGATTATAGGAAGAAATGTTACCAAATTTATTGTAGTAATCTATTTAATATTACCAGATTATCTTTTCAAACCATGGAATTTCTATTTGAAAATGAGTGCATTCCATGAATTGATCATCCAGCTCATGCATTCACTTCCGACCTAGGCCACAAACCTTGTAAAGGAAAATTAAAAATTTCTCCAAATGATAGGCTGGCAACGATTTGGTTTATGAATGTGAAAATACGATGATACATCAAGATTTGGACATAACATACAATCTAGTAGTAACTCTTCGATATTCTAAGAAGCTGCACCAACAACTAGAAGATTACAACTATAAATGTTTAACTAATTGATCTGATCCCCAGATAGCTACTTTTGCTGAAACCCATAAATGGCGAAACTGGAAAATTGAATGTTTGCAGGATGCTGTAATAGTCAATGTTATGGCTTGAAACATATCCATATTGCTGCGAAAAAGAAGGATCCAGAATACAACCACAATACAATAATCTAGTCGAAAAGACCCTCATCTTGCCAGATGTCCACCAAAAAGTCTACCATCTCCTGCGAAATCCATATACACATCAAATCAATGAACGAGTAATGAAATCAATAATTTCATAGGCCAAACACAAGAATTCGTCTTTTACGATGGCATAAAACTAACTTAAAAGAGCACAGAAAGTAGGTGGCCATAAGTGAAGGGGTCATAAAATGTGTTTTGGTATACCCAAAAAGTGTAGAGTTAGTTCTGTACTTGGCGTTTGTATCCAGTTAACTTACTGATAAAGGGATTGGCTCGGAGAAAGGGTCATTAGTTGAGAGTACATCTTCGTAGGTCATCGACCAGCTGCAATAGCAAATAACAGAGTCAGATTCAATTTTTAACATAATTTGCATGTTCCCATATTGCAATTAGCGTTCAAGGAAGACAACAAGGTGAGTACATACAGTACCTTATAATTGGATCCTTCGGCATCCTTTCTGACCTCTGAGATATATCTCCAATCCATTTTCTTCTGCTCTCTTGCCATGCAATTGCAGCTGCATGACATAGTTAGACATATTATAGAACTCTTGTGCACCTTTTCTCGGTTACAAGCGTTCCAAAACTAAGTGAAACTATAAAAACAGAAACTTTTCCATGTTATATTTCTGAAGTGAAAGATACAACAAGAGTGTTAAATTAAGGGCATAGGTGCAATCTGTTGCCTATGAGCAATGAACCAAACATAAGGTCAATAAGAGAGTGTTTTGGAGACATTTTTATGTAAAAATGCATTTTTGAATAGTAAATTGATGAGAAATATATGGTTGAAAAATAAGGAAAAGTTTTTGATTTACGTGTAATATTATTTTAATAAAAAATGTGTGGTTTAAAAGAAGAAAGAGAAAAATGCATTTTGAAAAAAATGGGTACCAAACGGGGCCTAAGAATGATCAGCTTAAATTAACATGACGTAGTATGGTTGCCAAAGATTTGAATTAGACTGAAAGAGAAACAAAAATAACTTTCCAAACCCACTTCATATGTCTAATAGTCAGACACGGTTAGTTCCGACTCTTTAGAAAGCTAAAACTTATAAGCAAAACTTACCATGATTGACAAATACAGAAGTTTTGGTGTTATTTTCTGTTCGCCCTTTCAATTCGTTAGCAGGAGTAGAATTCTCCAAAGTTCTCTTCTCATTGAAGCCCGAAGTTCCACCATTGCATTCCATCTTGTCTAGACTGGAAAATCATCCCCCTTTGGTGATAAAAATGCAAATGCCGCAAACTGTCATTGTCAAGGTGAGGGGTTGTGTCAAATGGAATAAATAATGGACTGAAATGAAGCTGGGTTTGAACATAACTACAGCGCTTCATAAAGAGATTCTATTTTAATAAACCGGCTGCAAAGAGCAGAAAGTTTGAATTGATTTCATATGGAGATAATAAATACTTCTAGAAAAACTTACTAGGAAATAAGAATTATAAAAACGTTGAAAACGAGTTTGCCCTTCATAATGTGCACGCTGATTCAATTTATATTACATCATATAATGCATACATGTAAAAGAAAGTTTATAAAGAATAACATTGTCTACAATATTCCAAATGTCCAACTTGAACCTAATACTCTACGAGTGGAGAGACCATATGGGTTTCATGCACATCTAGAAAGTCGTATTTCAGCCATACAGGATAAGCTTCAAAACTCACTGCAAGTGTTAATCTCTGCCAGTAATTCTGAATGCATAAAAATTGATTCCAAAATACGAAGACAATTTTGCAAATTGAAGAAACAGACCCATAGAGAACAGATATGTTAGTTAACAACAACATAAAGAAACGGGAAAGCTTTAACAAAACTATACAATGAATTACAACATTTCTCAACAATTGGGCTCGGATACCATAAGATACATCAATTATTTTTTTATAAGAATATAAAACACCAATTAAAATGAGTAGCATATCAGAAACAAGTCTTTTAAAGTTTGTGAGATGCTCTTCCCATGGCAGACCCAACCTGTGTCATGCTTGAGAGCAGTGACAAATTGAAGTGTGGGACACTGTACCATGAACTAAGGTATGATTCAGCGATTTATTAAAATGCAACGATTATCGAGAGAAATGACCATTGATCAGTAAAGTACTTGACAGATTTAAGTTCTTAATAGTTTTGTGCCTCCAGTTCAACAAAATTAATTCCAGGAAGCAATTGGTGAGCATATACATGATTGTGATTCTTTTAGCTCCTACGGTGTTAAGAGACGAAACTCTAGCAGTTCCATCGGCTTCATTGATTCAAGAATCTGGAATCCTTAGCTAAATAGTTCCAGTAGATTTTTAATTCTCTCATTTGAATCTGCCCTAACAAAGTGTAAGCCTCAGATTACACTAGAATAGTCATTCCTATAACCAATCAGTCTTCCAATACGATAAACGAGAAGATCAAAATACATCCCAAAGTAACATAGCCAAATTGGTTAGAAAGATTGGGTTGATAAACCAATAGTAATAGAGTTATATGCTTAGTTTGCTACTATTGTACTGAGTTACACGGCTTAGATTATATTCTTCAAATTGCTCAAATGTTTTCACTAGTTCCTCATTCAAGAATTAGAAAATAAAAAATAAAAATCATTGGTCATTGGCAACAATTCATGACCAAAAAATCCAATCTTTGCCCTTTGTGATCCAAGTAATCACCAGACCGAAAGTCGTTTTCTATGGAAACTGAAAATCTTGTACATATAACTAAGGCATTCAAAAAGTCTTCAAATTTTAACCACTTGCATAAATGAACTACAGAGCACCGAATTGAGACATCAAGATGACAAAATCTTATCTTAAACCAAAACCCAAGAAACACCATTTTTTTTTTCCACAAGTAGCGACACCCTGTCCCCATAAGTAACCAAGAAAATCAAAAGAAAACGAAAAAATGAACAATAAAAAAAGAAGGAAAAAATTTTAAAAATAAAAAAAATAAAAAAGAGAGGAAAGAACAGTGGTACCTTTTATGGGCTTCTCTACAAAAGAAATCCAAGTGAATGAGGAGAAGAGAGAAAAAGAGTGCCAGTGAAAGAGGGGTATATATAGAGCACGGAATATTGAATGTCATTTTCTTGATTTTGGTAGGTAGGTAGCAACTTGTTTTCACTTTTTACTGATTTTCCTTCCACCCCACTATATATCTGTCATTTTTTGTCTCTATCATGCTGACGTGGATGTGGATATTTTTAAAATTTTTAAAGATAAACTACTTTTTTTTTTCTTGTCGTATGAATGTCCTGTAATGACCTTTACTGACCCCATAAACTGCAGATGTGAATAGGGGTGGGCGCGGGTCGGTTCGGTTCGGTTCGATTTTCTTTAGAACCGAATGGAACCAAACTTTTCGGGTATCTAGTAAATGGAACCGTCTGGTTCAAATATAATTATGGAACCGTTCGGGTTCGGTTCCATTTGGTTCGGTTCGGTTCGGTTCGGTTCTGTACTATAATTAAATTTTTTAACATTTATAACAACGTTATATAAATACGACTAATGATACATTCAATGGTTTTGGAATGTCAGATATTAGTAAACTACCTTGTTCAAATGATCGCTACGATCAAAGCTTCAGTCGACGAAAGTCACGGATTCGATCGGAGGTCAGAGTGTCGGCCGACGATTGTATAGGTTTTGGAATTTAGCGAGACTGCGAGAGTGAGTGCGAGTGTTGAGACAACGTTATACACTTTATTGTAGGTGTTTAGGGTTATTTAGTGGATTTGATCTTGTTTGGCTAAGAAATGAAACAATAAAATGCGTAATTTGGCCAAAAATTAAAAAATTAGAAATGAAACAAATTATTGGGCCAAAAATTTGGATTTAGAAATCATTAATTTGTTAATTTGTTTAGAAAAAATTAAAATTAAAATAATTTCATTTACTCAATATAAAAAAAAATTAGAAAGATTCGGTTCTTATTCGGTTCTTCGGTTCTTGATCTAGAACCGAGAACCGAATCGTACCCGTCGGTTCTCAATTCAGGTACCCGTTCGGGTATTTAATTTGACAAGAACCGTCGGGTTCGGATCGATTCGGTTCGGGTTCGATTCGATCGGTTCGGTTCGATTCGGGAAATTTGCCCAGCCGTAAATGTGAATTACAAATTTGAGGATAGTTAGGTAATTGAGGGATCAACGCCAACTGTGTATGGTGGAATACTGGAATCCGAAGATAGTGCTGAAATTTTTGCAATTACTTTGAGGTGGAGTTAGATATGTTATTCAAAATTTGCTATTCGCTAGTAAACAATTGACGCATAATTTTATATTAAATTGTCACTTAATTTTAAGCATAAATGACAATAAAAATAAAGTTAAATATATTAATTTAAAATGATGTGTCAATTATTTGGACGACAAATCTCAACTCAAGATTACATTTTATTAATAAACAAATAAATTACACTTTTGTTTAGCTATGTTTGGTGTATATAAAAATTAAAATTTTGATAAAAATTGACAAAATATGTTATCAAAAAACTGTATATCTCGTGTGATTAAAATTAATTGTTGAATTTAACTTGAAATTTTAATTTTATTTTATTTAACACCAAACATGAGCTTAATATACTATTTTCACGACTAATAGATTTTATATAATATATGGTACTGAATTTTAATCTTAAATAAATTAAATGATCTTTTCTCTATGTTTCTTCTTCACTATTATTCAATATTTCACGGTCTACTTTACTAAATAAAAAGCTGAAAATTTAAAAACTTCGAGATTCAAATCTTTCACCCATTTAATCCTTTATGTTTTTGTCCGTGTTTCGTGTAGATTAAAATAAAAGTTTTAACGAAAGTATGATTAAAAAATTGTGAGTTCCACGAAGTATGTATTTAAAATTAATTCTCTAAAGAAAGATAGACTAACTAGGCGGACCATGATGGAAGACCAAGGACATGGGATCGTGGAAGTGTTTTGAGCTTTACTAATAGTTAAGGGTGACTAACCTATCAATAAAAAAAAAAAAGAGGGTGACTTTAACTTAATTAAAATCAAGTTTAATTTATTCCAAATTGGGGTTTTGTATTCAACTTTCATTTGATAAATTGGACAGTCCTATGAGTTGTTATATTATCTACGGTCTAGAAAAAGTGGGGATTGAGAATAAACTTATGATTACCAATTTTACCCTTACATATTTAGTTATGAGTTCAATACATCCTCATTTATCCTTGTATCTTTAATTTTCCATTTTACCCTTATAATTTTATGTTTATGGTCAATAATACCCTTAAATTTAAATTATTTCAACTAAATTCAATTATTATTAAAATTAAAATTATTTATCTTTTGAAATTAAGTCAGTTAATTTTCACTAAACACTATTATTACTAATTATCAGTATATGATTAATAAAAACTTATATAAAAACAAAATAAAAATTATAATAATATTACATATATAATTAAAAGGAAATGGCATATACTATTAAATCAATTAATATTAATATATAAGATTTATAAAAACAATAAAACTGTATATGCACTAAAAAAAAAATTAAACCTAAAGAATATTGCATTCCTAAAAGATTCCATTGAAAATAAAACGTAATAGTTAAAAAATCCCATTAACTAATTTTCACTTGATACGTATTATAATAATCTATCAACTTTCTAATCGTCATTAATTTATATTAGTTTGATAAACTATAAGATAAAAATTATTTTTCAATAACCTAAGTGTAAATAGATGATAAACATTCGATTTTGCATTTTACTTTCACATTTTTATATTTGTGGTGAACAATACCCTTAATGTTCAATTTATTTCTTTTAAATAAGATATTAATAATTATTATTGTTTAAAAAAAATTAGGTCAATTAATTTCCACTAAATACAATTATTACTAATTATTAGTACAGGATTAATAAAAATATTGTTGTATACAATTAAAAGAAATTATATATATAAATATAAACCCTATATGAAAACTCCCTTACTCTTCAAGTCCATAATTTATCACTCACAGATAACTGCTGAATACATGTTTGTAATTTTTATTTTATTTTTTTGTCTTACTTTCTTTATGTAATAGTTGATGCGTAATATGTTAGTAACTAATTATTAATCATAGATTTTTATGGTCTCTTTTGATCGGAATGATGGCCAATCTTTTTTTATAGGGCATAACAACCAATAATAGACTATTTTTATTTTTTTTGCTTATGATGAACTTAATAATGTAAATTATGTGAATATTTATTATATTTGATAGTTAGTTTTGAATTTATTTTCTACAAATATTCTATTTTTAAACGAAATTTACTTGTATTCGAGTATCCAATTTAGTGCAAATTTTTTTTATTTGCTCAACTTGAATTTTGTATATTTTGTCTTTGTAATATTCTTTGATTAATGAAATTAATTTTCTTCTTATTGTTACAATTGTACAGTGTGCAAATGTCAGTTTTGAGGAAATGGAATTCTAATGCCACATTTTTACTTGCAAGAAATTTATGTACGAGTTGTAAATCTAAAAAGTAGTTTGGTGCTTATTGAAATTTACAATTTTTTCACTTAAACATTGGATAAAAGGAAAAATCATCAAAATCTAAAATTAGATTCTTCCAAATTTCAAGTGGTCATATTCTCATAATTTTTAACATTTACAAGTTTGATTCAATACACATTTCTATGGAATATTTAATAAATTTTTGGATATTAATTTTATTGATTATAGTCGTTTCTATAATTTACATTCACTTAGTATTGCTACCTTTAATTCTTGGGGAAAAATCATTTTTTTTTTCTAACTAAATTATGACTACTAATCATTAAGAAGGCTTTTGAATGCATAGCCTCCCAACTTCTTCTTCTTCTTTTTTTTTAATATGGGTTTTGACACAAAACTATAGTTAATAATTAATTATGTAAATCATTTAATTGCATAATCAAATAGTTAAAGTTTAATGTCCCATCCGACAATTTTTTGTCTAAGTGTTTTGATATTTTAAAATTTTGTAGGCATTTCAAAAGTTTGTTTTGTCAATTATAACGATAGAACATTGTCATATTATCATATTAAAAAGTGTATATTTTAAATTTTAATGCTACATGTTAAAATAGTGTTATACGATATACTAAAATTTGTAATTATCATTGATACTTATTAAAAAATATTAACACTATTAAACACTGAAATATATTAAATTTGACTTAATAACTTTCTTTAAATTATAAATTCTTTTGTTAGATTATACTATGTGCAAACATATTTAGAAAATTAGCTTTTAAAATTTTGTAGGCATTTCAATTTTTTTTTTGTGTCAATTATAACGATAGAAAATTAGTCATATTATCATATTAAAAGGTGTATATTTTAAATTTTAATGCGCCGTGTTGAAATAGTGTTATACGATATACTAAATATTGTAATTATCATTGATACTTATTAAAGTTATATATATATATTTGCTAAAAATATTAACGTCATTAAACATTGAAATATATTAAATTTGACTTAATAACTTTGTTTATATTATAAATTCTTTTGTCATATTATATTATGTGCAAATCATATTTAGAAAACTAGCTTTTGGTTTCAAATTCTTACTCATTATTTTTATAAATTTTTATTATCATCTCGTTTAACTTTCATAGAATTATTAGGAAAGAGGAAGATGTTTCTAATAATACCAGTGTAAGTGTTATGTGTCCTAAGTTCAATCGATTTAGGTTGTAAATACTTTTAATATGTTTAGTGCATTTAATTTTTTGGCAATATCTATTATTTAATTAAATAAATATTTTGATAAATGATATTAAATAATAGAGTCCGTAGATTCAAGTTTCAGTAATTTGTTAATTATAAGGAGTTGTGATTGTGAGATACAAATTACATATGATTGAATTTTAAATAATCCATTGTCGTAAGTAATAATGAGATACGGATATCGGTATTACGGATAGACTATCACGTGTGACATTTTTTACTTGTGAAGTAAATAGCTCCTCTCACAAACTAAAGTATTGTGACACTTAAATGAACGCGTG